TCTGCTTTACAAAACATTTCTGCTTCTGGCTGTGTAGACTTCTCTCTACACCCAGGTTCAATGAGAAACTCACTAGATTTATGATCTTTCTACCATAAGCGAGTGGGGGTTTTTATGGTTCTGTATTAATCAATATCCTGTTTATTGTTTCATTTTTTGAAAGGCAGAGGAACATCCAGGAGGCTAACAAAGCCCCTGGATGAGTGTGTAGGAGAGGAGGTGTTCAGGACATTTCCTTTCCTTGCCCGTTTGTTCCATCCTTCTTAGAGCTGTGCTCCAATTTGTGATAGACTTAGGAGAAACTTCAAACTGCTCTTTTAAATGTTTTTACCCCATCAGCCCTAGAGAAGAGCTCTGGATCCCTGGATGCAGTAACCCATTGCTTTCCAGTACAGAGTGAGCAGGCAGACATCAGGCTGCACAGCATTAGCATTTGGGTGCAGCGACACAGGTGAGATTGTAGCTGCTATTCTTTGGGGCAGTAAGTGTGAATACTTCAGCTGTTGAAACAAAAATGCCTTTTTTTCAGACTGAAATCCCGTTGTTTCTTTTTGTTCTGAGAATTTGAGAGCTTTTTGGCCCCAGGTTTGACCTACTTGAAGGCTTTGCCTCCAGGCTGTTAATTCCCCAAGCATACCTTTTGACAAAATGGAACCTGTAGTTTTGATAAAACTCTAGGAGTAAGTCTTGTGGGATTTTAAAAAATAATGCAATATATAGCAGAAAAGAAATGTCAGACTGTGTTTTATCTGATTATCTAGTAAATGGTAACTGTACCTCATAATTTAGAAAGTTTTACAGCCTGTTTCTTATACTTAGCTCCTATTAACTTGTGGTCGTTGCATAACTGTGCCAGTGTTAGGGGACAAAAAAGAGAGAAAAGTTATCTTTCAAATCCCGGTAGACCCGAGTAGCAAAAGCATTGCTTTTTTTTCAGTGGGGAGGATCTGCAATTCTCCAGCCTAGGTATTGCCATGAGAAATTAATGTAGTCTACAAAATTACTGCAAAGTGTTCCATAGGCCTTTGAAATTAATGGACTATAAAAAAAGATATAAAACAATACTGTTGGTATTAAAACTGAGGTAAGATGAGGTAATACTGATGGAGAGGCGTTGAGGCTAAGATTGATCTTGATTTACAGCCAGACATGAAAGAAATGCTCTTGTACTAAAGCTTAAAAACCGAGAGGCAGAGAACTTGTTCTGTCTTCAGCTGTCTAGTTAATAACACTTGTCATTAAATGGAACGTGGAAGTTACAGTCAAACAATATGCGTGACGTGATTGCTATAAGTCTTCAGATGACTAATTAAGAGGCATCTGTACAGAGATCTCCTGCTAGCAGTACAACGCAGGAGTGAGCAGTAGTCCTGTTCCTCCAGATCCATTTGTCAACAGCAAGTTTTCCCCTGGAAAAAATTCCATTTTAACAGTGCCATTAATACCAAAAGCAGGTGAATTGCTAAGGAAAGACAAGATGGGAAGGCTCTGAACGTTTGTTTTGGTAGGACAGATTTCTGTTGGTGCCTTTTAAATGGGACTGGTAATTCTGTCTCACCTAAAAAGGAACAAAGCGACTGGTGCAGGTTGGGTTTTTTTCTTTTTTCTTTTCTTTATAGTGAATGTTATTTGGTCTCCTGAACATGGCTGTCTTGTGTGGGATGGCAAAATAGGCATATTCTTGGCTATGTTTTTTTTTTCTCCTTGGAACTGATCCTACATTGATACCTTCAGACGGACACTAGTGACGTCTGTAATTTTACACAAGGGTAATCAGAACAACCTTGTTCACAGACTTGCTGCTGTGTGGGCTGCAGGATGTTTCAGTTTAAAGCAGGATATACATCAGAGGTATTTCTGTCATTATTAGCGTAACTGCATTCACACAAATCAGTACGAGAAAATCATAATCGTAGTATTTCCTTCCCTTTAATTTTTGGTTAAGATTTAGAAAAAAAAAAAAAAAAAGCTAATACCTTAGGCTCTTGGTAGTCCACGTTGAATTTCCTGTTAGTTTCTGTGGTTTAAGCTTTTTTATAAGATCATATCTTTCTGGTTTTGTATAGTCATGATGTTTTGGATTTTTGTGCTTACCAGCTAGACGGTGCAGTTCTGAGTATTTGCAGCCAGGATTACTTCCTATGCCACATGGTGACTTGGGGAAGAAGGCCACGTAGACGAGAAAGTGCCATGTCAGCAGTCACCATTTAAAAGTTCACATACATTCAACAGTCAAACAAGAGGCCTGTTGTACTGCAGCAATGTAGCAGGGAAGGGGAATCAAGCGTAGCTGTGGAGCACCAGTGCAAGGAAGCAAAACCCTATGTCGTGGGCTCTGGTGACGTACACGAGGTGGTCTGTCAGCCCAGATCCAGGTGATGCAGACAGGCATGGGAGCAACTGCCCTGTTAGTTCCCGTATCTTTGCACTCACAACAGGGAGTGTTGCCACCTTTGTTAAGGGAAAACACGTGCCTTGTTTTGTTCTTTCTCTTTTAACACAGCTTGAGGTTTCTGATTTACTGAGGGAATAACTGGAGAAGATCACAATGAGTGGTGACAGTAATGGGGCAAAGGATCACAGCATGCTCCCGTCAAGTCAACTAATGTTTGTTGTACTGATGGGAGATCAAATTCTACAAATGTAGCAGTGGTGTTTAGGAGGCGTTTTACATGTGCAGAGCCTAAGTAGCAACTTCCAATCTATGTTAACATGCTTGTTTTAAAGATGGCAGACTTCATATTGCCACTGTAAATTATAAATTGGGAGAAGCTGTAGTTCCAGGTAAAAATAATCCACATAATGCACACAAGCTAGCTAATAACCAGTGTCCTTTCATGGTTAAAATTACTGCTTACATGCCTCTTCCTACATCCTCCCTTCCAGTTGCCTATTTCCATGACTGTGATGAATAGAAGGAAATCCACCCTGTGCATTTTCCCTAGTCATAATCCTTTCTCCACTACCACACCTCATTACAAACACATCTGCCACCTTTCCAGCCTACAAATACACAACACACCCCAAAGCAGACTTTACTCTGGTACTCCTTAGCTGAGTATTGCTATTCTTAAGCATAGCGAAACACATCTCTGGTAGCTTGGAATCACAATGGGATCTCTGTCCTGACAATGTGAAATGACAACTTTATGTCCAGCCATGCTGAAATCACTTGAAATCAGAAGGGTCAAACAGCCTAAAGCAGTAGGAAGAATGTGATTTTAGCTTATGTTTAATCTTGGTATGGAGGAAGAATGGTGCTTTTAATTGCTTGAGCCTCCTTGAGTTCTCCTTGTAGCCTGAGATGTGACTTCGATAAAGCATAGTTTATGTTCCTCATAGTTGTGAACTGCTTTGGCTACTCACCGGTCAGCAGGAGGCATTTTTTCTTGGATTCAGATATGTAGTGTGAGTTTCTGCCACTGAACTGCAGTCAGCATGCACAAATGGAAACTTGCAGATGTGCTAAATGCACTTAATGCAGTGCCAGCTTCTGCGGTAGCTAAATGGGATGTTTGCCCATGAGCATTTGGGTTTTGTTGCTCATGTGCAAGCCATCCTGCTACCGAAAGCAGCACGCCTGATAGTTCAAGCAGGGCTGTAAGTAACTGCTGCCATCTAAAAGGTAATATTATATCAGATCCACTTTCCAGCCTTCAATCACACAGTCAAATTCTCACCTCTTTTTCACAAACTGTCCTCAAAGATTAGTAGGACATTAAAATCTATCTAGAGTGTAGATAAACAAGCAATAGAGAGCACAAACCTTTCCAAATTGTATATTTAAGGCAGAGGAGAAAAAAAAAATTGTGAAGTTTTCTTGTTTTATATGGCAAATTGCCAGTTTCATTTTCTCATTACATGACTGTTTTTGTCAGAGCAGATAGAAACATTTTGGGCTGATGGGCACATAGCACTCGCTGAAGCTTGTTGAAGCCACTGAGTCTGAAGTCTTGATCGCTGAATGCTGCAAACCATTTGCCTCAGGCAAATACATATTTCCAGTTTTGGCAGTGTCTAGTGTTTGAAAGAGACAGAGAGTGATAGATTCTCTGGTCAGCCCAGTTAAGCAAACCTTAGATTCAGATTTTATATTTTGCAGAGGGAAAAAACAGTTTGCAATATACCTGGAAAAAAGACTTCTACTCGTCTGGGGCTGCTGCATTGCTCAGCCCTTCCACCAAAAATCAAATGTGCTCTCTCTGTCAAAATAGTTCAGATATGCCAGGTCTTAATAGTCTGCTGGTGACCTGGATTCCCCAGGTTTCTGAAGCACCGACGTCTTGCTCTGAAAGGCTCTGTGCAAAGCTGCCACAACACTAGCAAATCCCAGTATCTGTGGTGAGACTGAAATTTTCCCCACCTACCCCATGTCCTTTTACCATCATTTCTCTCTCTTTACTTCAGTCAAACAAACAGAAAAGCCAACACCTTGGATTTCCCAAGACTTACAAGGGTCTTAAGATTCTCAGTGAAAGAAGGTTATTGGACTCCCTTTCTGGATATCCTAGTCATGGATCCAGAGATTTCATGCTGTTAAATCAAGAGAGTCTCCAGCAACGATGGTGCACACTGGAGACAGAATGAGCTGGACTAGGCGCCAAAGGAGAATGCGGTGCAGACTCTACAGACATCGGTTCAAAATGGCAGTGTCCCATCAGGCTCAGTTCTTGCTTGAAGAAGCTGTGTAGGTGTGGGAATCGCTGCTGTAGGTTGGATCTCTCAATGGCAGTGTGTGGGGTGGGGTGGTTGCAGATCAATAATCAACACCCTGCGGTTGCTGTACATCAATGCTTGAATCTCTGACAGGCTGCAGAAGCCAGGAAGAAGCACAGAAATACATCATCTAACATTTTCCTCTCTCATTTCTGCATTACATTGACCTAAATAGGAATCTCTGGTTAGATTTAGCTTCTTTCTGGTGGAAGGGGGATCGTTGCAAGGCTGGAGAAAGAAGGTTCTCCCGAGTGGGCTGTGGTGGCCCTCTCCTCCCAGATAGCATGCAGAAGAAGGAGCGAGTGACGGGTGGAGAACTAACAGGGGCTGGCAGCAGGGCCATGGGGCAGCCTGGCTCACGTGGAGAGCTGGAGTGGCAACTGAGGACAGCTGATGTATTAAAGAAAGGAGGAAGGCTGAGTGACAGCGAGAAAGGGAGCCAGGCCAGAGACGCCCATTCGGTTGGTTATTAAAGTCTAATGGAACCACCACAGTGTATATTTATTAACAACTTGATCTTTCTGGTTCAGTTTTTGCCACTTCCAGCCTTCTCTTCTCCCTTGGTTGAGAAATAGTAAGTTACTCAAGATCAGTACCACCTTCTGAGTTTGGAAAGTGCCTGATGCCAAAAGTCACCCGAGCGGGCAACTCCAGAGAACTCAGTCTAGGAGAGGGTACCGCCGAGGACTAGTTTCGCGTGCCGAGTCCAGCTTTTCTTCCTTGCTTCAGAGAAGCCTGCAGAGCATTCTGCCCACACGTAGGGAATCGCTTCTGCGCAAAGAGGTAGCGTGTGACAAACTAGATGTTTGTAACCACTGCTGTGTAGCTTCCTTGGGCAGAGCAGGATAAACAGTTGTTATTTATTCTTGTTACACCGCCGTTGCGAGCTAGCAGTGCTACTCGTTTGTAACTTGGGTCTTCCCCAGAGGGACAGCCTGTTGGTTTTGAGAAGATAGTAGTGTGGGTATCATAGCACACTCACTTCTAAAAGCAAACCTGAGATAGTGGAGAGCTCTTAATTGGCTATTTCTCGAATCAGAGGGCCTGCCTCTCTTTCCCAGGTATTCCCAAACAGAAGTTAGCCTGTGCATGCTAATGCATTTTAATGAGTTTTGACAAGGTCACAAGAACCCATTTGTTGCTCGTCTGCTTTGTCCTTGCACATATGAATGAAGCTTTCCCATACTTAGCCATAGACAGCCACCAGTCAGCTTAAGAGTGTGTGTGTTACATGTTTCTAAAATATTTCTATTCACTTCTCAGGTATTCAGTTTGAAACAGAGCTGCCCAATATACTATTTGGCAGAGAAGGGGGAAGAACCTGTTTTGGTGCCCTTCTCATTTCTCTTGATTTTGTGAAATACCATAAGATCTCTCAAATAAGGGGAGAAAGATTTGGGATAAATCCTGGGGATCCAGGGCCAGAGGGAGGAAATGGGCAGTAGAAATGTTTTTAGTAAGGGAAAAGTCTAGAAAAGGATAGATAGGCTTTAAAGAGATGGTCTTGAGATGTCTGAGAGTACTCGATAAATGATCTGCAACAAGCAGCATCTTGACATAAGTATGTCAGGAGCTCCTGGTCCTAAAAGTTGTAGTGCCTCAGTGATGATCTCCTGACACTGTTGTCACTGGGAGCTGGGGAGAAAAACACTGGCTCCTCAGACAGCACCAGCACAGAGCGTGTTGCATGGGATAACACCCATGTGTGTTTCGGAGGGGAGCATGGAAGCAGACCTCTGAGTGAGCCCGTCCAGCCCAAGAAGGTGGTTTCTGTATGTAGTTGATACTTCATACTTAAGTGCCTGGTGAAATACTGTCACCTCTTTTTTTTCATTTGTGACCTGCTTGAAGCAGAGGGCTGATGATGCCCAGACCTCCCTTCTAACCAAAACGATTCTGTGATTTGTTCAGTTGCTTGAAGGACAGTATCTTTCTCTCTCAAATTTGTGGCTGTAGTCAAATTATCTTAAGCCAAAGCAATGTTACTGAATTGCATGGAGTTAAACTTGCCCACACTAGGAAATTGGTCTTTGGGATTTTATGGCTCTTGTGCAAATATTCACCTGGGAAACAGGAGTCTTGCGTTTCAAGAGAACATAACACCCAGCTAATTTCACTGCCTCCCTTACAGCCAGGCTTCTCTTGAGGGCTAAGCAACAGCATCTTATTTATAATCCTGTCCCAGTTTTGGAATGCCCATGCCATCTGAAAGCTATGGCCTTATTTTATCAGTTTATATCTAGTAACAGACTTAAGGAAATGGAGTTTTGTTTTCCCATTACATTTACTCCCCAGTGCAACAGTTAAAAAACTATTTTTCAAAGTGTTTAGAAAGCCCAAATTTTTCCCCAGTAACTCAGAGCATAGGAATGTCCTATGGCAAAAGCAGCACTGGCAAGGACATGCATGCCAGCATGTCAGCAGGCCAAGTGTGGGAGATCCCCCACCACTTCCTGCCTGAAGGTTCCCAGGGTGCAACTTGGGAACACACTGTGTTTATTTTGGATATGTGAAGCCCCTGTAAAGATTCTGTATACATGTCTGGGTTTAAATATATGTAGTTATGTTCTACCAACATGTTTCAGCCTAGTCAGGGCAACATCTGTTGAAACATGCAACTCTGGCTTAGTTTTAGCAAAGAAAATGAAGGAAAACAATTTCATCCATCATTAGACCAACACTTGGGAGAAGATTTAGGCCTTGTTCCATTTCCTAAAGCTAAGCAAATTTTGGCCTCATTGGCCCAGAGGAATAATCAAATCGCTGATGCTTGAGCTGTCTCTGGCTGTGATGTACAGCAAGTCTCTCGCAGAGCAGGGATTCAAACCACGCGCAGCAGTGCTGACCAAAGAGGGCTGTTGGGTAACCAGTGGATGGTGCACCGAGAGCAGCTCTCCCCATTCACCATTGGTTCTCACTTGCCGGTGGTTTTTGAGTCCAACCCATGTTAAAGCAATGCAACTAGAGGTCACAGGAGAGAAGCACTGATTGCTCTAGTAAGAGATAACTCCTGGAGGGTAGGGGGGAAATGCCCATGTGAAAAGGTCTCTCTGCTCCCACAATGCCATTCAAAACTGCTGTGTCTGTTGATGGAGGGTAGGTGAACTCCTCCTAAAACCTGATCAGCAGCTCTCTGTAGTATGCAGACCTGCTTTTCCAGTTGCCACAATCATGGACAATTAACTTGTATCCTCTCACTCTTCCCCAAATGTCTGTGTAAGCTGGACACTGGCATGGTAATGTCTGATACTAATCCCAGGCTGCACCTATAGCCTAAGCAACTCTAGGCCCAAATCTGCAGTCTTGTCTCTGCCCACCAGTTTAGAACAAAGTGATGAGAGAGCACTTGTGTGAGTCCAGCTGAATGAGCCACTGGGCAGCTCTGCCATGTCCCATGTCAGAATAATGCCTGGCTGTGGTCCTGTGCCTGAACATCGGCCGAATTTAGGGGTGCACATTGGCCGTTTGTACGATGACCTTTGTGTGCACGTTGCAGAAGTAGCTGTACAAGGTGTGCCCACCTTGTGCCCTACAGCCTCTGCACACCCTATGGTGATCATCCTGTGACACTGCTGTCTGAGAGCACCAAAGTTGCTGGCTTAATAATTAGAGTAAAATTTAGAAGTTAGTCATACCCACCACAGCCCAGGGGGGACCTGGTTACACTGGGGTTGGCTGGTGGGGCTTTTCTGGTGATATGAACTGTTATTAGATGTGTTTGTTTGGGTTTTTTTTTAATGGTACTAGATGACTGGCAGCACTTGCAATTGTAGGCCAGGGCTGGGAGAGGCTTTACTGTGAGCTGGTTTAAAGGAACAGTGATTTTCTATGGTTTTCCTATTGCTGGTGAGATACTTTTCTAAATGCTACTTCCCTCTATTGAGAAACGAGGACATAATGCTTATTTCCCTTAACTTGAAGCAGCAATGTTAATATCTGATTAATCCTATGCCATACAGGTCATGCTTGTTAAAACTGAAAGCCACAGATGATTATATTTGGAAAAGATTGCCATATCACGCTGAGTTAGTATTAGAAGCGTTGTTTTCAGTTCCACTTTGTTATATATATAAGGCAGGTATTTTTCCCTAAGATTTCTGGATTTACAACTCTACCACTTCTTGTAGAAAAAGATATTTATATAATTGTATTTTGAAAACACTTCTGTTTTATGAATGAGTTGCAGTCCTCCAAAAGAACAAAGCCTATACTGCATAGACTTAGAAGAATAAACAAAAATTAAGAGGTTTAGCTGTTATTTACTGGCTTCTGAAATCTAAAACATCTGTGATTAGAAGCTTGAAAGTCTGTTTAGATAGATAGTTGAGAATTTGTTTTGTTTTGGTTTGTTTAGAAAGTATGCCAGTTATTTCAGATGTTCTGCCTATAAAGAATGTAAAACAATTTAGTTGTCTCAGGTCTGAATTTAACCCAAACCACTGGCAGAAGGTCATTAAATTCAGTCCAGGGTTTCATTCAGATCTGCCATTGTTTAGACCTAAAAAAATGTTACCATAAAAATGTTGGCATGTTTGTTATTCAGGGCGTATAATGTCTTAATTGAAATAGTACCAGAAACTATTTAAAAAACTTGTATTACTGTTCACATGACAGTATTTTATAGCTTTAACATCTGTTTTAAGGCCAACATGTGAGATTTAGCCTTTGTCTGACTATAACTCTTTTGATTTCAGTGAAGTTGCACCCACTTAAGTCCTGATTGAATTTGTGTGACATGATTGGTTTTTTTAATTGTATGATTTAATTTTTTTTTTATCCCCAACCCAGTGTTACACTATGGAACTTCAGAGCGTGTTAGAATAAGGTCAATAATGGATCCTTTCTTCTTCCTTTTTTATTTTCCCAGTTACAAGGATCCATTAAAAGAAAACTGGAAGATGATAGCTCTCCTGCCTCCAGTGGCGTGCCTGATGTCATTTTCCCAAATGACAGTAAAAGACTTTGTCTTGATGATGTAAACCTTGCCATGGGCCAAGGTGCCAATCCCAATGTGGCGTGTCCAGAAATGCAAAGTTCTCCGTTCTCCACCAGTCACAGCACTTCTTCCCTGGGAGTTGCAGGTCATTCAGTGCTCCTCGAAAACAATCACATGAATGGCGGTGGCATTGGTTCCCCGTTTTCAGTGCCACCCAACACAGAAATAAATCAGAAGGGGTCAATAGGAGGGCAAAACAATAACATTGTCCACTATGATGAGAAAGGACACAGCTTACAGTCTGTGGACCAAGAGCTGCAAGACCTATTGGAAGAGCTGACAAAAATGCCTGATCCTTCTCCCAATGACCTGGATCTGGAGAAGATTTTATGCAGCAAGGCTGAAGAGCCACTTGGGCTGAGTCATTCTCAACCAAGCATAAGTACAACTCCAAAGTCCTCCCCACAGAATTCCCACTTGGAGAATCATGTTGCTAACAAAGATTTTTCTCCAGGCTGCAATCCAACCGGTGGAGGATCTCCTCAGATGAGACCATCATCCGCTGGAGCTAACTTCCAAGTTCCTCCCTCAAACAAACCTGCTGCATCGCCCATCTCCACAGCAGCTCAGAGCAAGAACCAGCCACCACCTATGCTTCCAGTACCCTTACCCAACATGCCTGGCTCCAACTGGCATGCTCAGCAGCTAAAGCAGCTGGCAGCTAGCAAGCAGGTGTCTACTACTAAGCAACAAGTACAGGCTGCCAACTGGCCAACTATGTCTCCTCCTGGTCTCTCTCCTCCTTACAGGGCAGGATCATCCCCACATCATCAACCTTTCAGTCCTCAGAATGTTATGGTGTCTGGCATGCCTGCTAATAATTTACCAGGAAACAACATTCAGAGTCCTCAAAACACTCTGCTTTCAAGCATGACTTCCAGCAGCACCCCATCCAATGGCCCCTCTCCTCCTTATGGGTCTGAGAAGCTCTCCAGTCCAGCTCTGAACCAGCAGCCCTTCAGCCCGCAGAGCTCCATGCTGCCCACCCTGACGGCAGCCAGCTTACCAGCCAACAACATTAAAAGTCCACAGAACAGCTTGGTTGCCAGCATGGCCTCCACAAATACTGGACCTTCTCCACCGTACAGGCCAGAAAAGCTGTCGAGCCCAGCTCTGCATCAGCAGCCCTTCAGTCCTCAAGGTACATTAATCTCTAACATCACTCCCACCAGCAACCCCACGAGTATGCAGAGCTCGCTTTTTAAATCAATGACTACAAACCAGTCCAAAAATATGAACATAATTATGCAACAGCCATCCAGTAGCTTGCAGCCAGGTCTGGTGAATGAGAGCCCTGTTAGCCAAGACCAGTTTTCTTTCAATAACACCAAACCACTGTCTCACTTTGCCTCAGAGTCAGCTGCTCAAAAGATGTCACCTCTGACAGCAGGACAAGGGCAGCAGTCTCTCATTCACTATCTCCAGCAGCAGCAGCAGTCTCCAGCCACGCCGCAGTCCCAACAGGCTAACAATAGCCAGTTTCTCCAGCAGCAGTTTCGACAGCTGATCCAGCCACATCGGATGCAGAGACACATGCAGCCAGCCACGTTGCCATCTCAAAGCAGACAGGTGAGAACCTCTCTTGTGTCTTCTAGAGCTTTTGTGAATATAGCAAGTCATTTATTTTCCTGTTTTTACGTTCCTTTGTGTTTGAAATGCGGCGTCACTAAACTTCTGGGGTGTGCAGTGTATAAAAGGACAGGGCAGTAACAACATCCTGGTGTTATCAGAAGGAACTTTATTTATTTCTTCAGTTGAAATGTGCTGTAATTCCACCATGCATTGTCTCTTCTAGCCCAGTGGAGAACTTCATGCTGTTAGGCAAAACATATTTCATACCACTAAAATAAATTATTTTTACATATATAGGCGGTATCTTATTTAGTTTATATTGAGATGTTCCCATAACATGTTTCCTATCACTTTTTAGTGGGAATATAATTTTTTTTTCTTAATACCTTTCAACAAATTTATCTCTGTATTATGCTTCTGAGGCTAGAAAAGATCAGTTAGGGTGAGAAGTGAAGTTAAAATATGACTCCTTCACGGACAGCAGGTCAAACAGTACGACTCCCGAACAGCAAAGAGGCAGACTTGAAATACCTGTTACCTGCATTTGCCAGAAGCAATGCCCTGCTTTGGATGAGGGCCATTCCCCACCCTTTGTTGATCTGAGATACCAACTGAACTGGCAAATGCAAAAATGCAGCTGGCAGGAGGGAGACACAGCCCTGATTTCTCTCCAGCAACCTTCTTCCTGAGACTCAAGGGGCGGTCTACTGCTACTACCCCAGATGAGACAGATTTGCTGTGAATGGAGACTGCAGAGCAAGGAAGGGCTGGGGGCTTGGGTCTGAGAGCAGCCTGAGTGTGAGGAATCAATAGCTATCTTTGTGTTAGGAAGAATAGTAGAAAACAGATTGAACCTCACCTCCAGAGCCAAGTAGCTTGTTAGGCTGAACCAACACTTTGGAAGCAGAATCCTTCAAGCTGCAGAGCTGTGCACACAGGTGCTCCATCAGCTCCTTGTGAAGGACTGAAACCCTTCTCACCCAGCGAACCAGAGGCTGATGATCTCTGAGGCTCTGCTAGGGTCTGCTCGAGAGCATGGTGCTTAGCTGGGAATGCACTCCAGAGCCTGGGTTTCTTTGCTTTTCTTCCCTGCTAAGGGGCTGGTTCTTAAAGAGGTGGGTTTCTTCAATGTAGGTGGCTTGGTGTAACCTTGTCCCGTCTTAGCAATGAGAAATAGGGGGATAGTTACTAAATGTCAGCTTCTTAGTGGCAAACCAATGAGGTGCATTTCCACTGTGCCACTTTAGGATTGACTCACTCTTTACCAAGTTGTGCTCATGCAGTACTGCCTTGTTTTGATACAGCAGCTTAAAACAGACAGCTGGGAAGGACTGGTGACTTGCTGAATTTGCTTATCCAAATATATAACATGTAACCATATGGCATATATGGTTCACTTTAAAGTGTTATCAATGTAAGGCTCCTAATTCAGCAAAGGCCTGAAACAATTTTGTTGTTTTAAGCACATAAGGACCCTGTTTGTGTTCAGTGGGACCCAAACTGAACACAAAGTAGAGGGTCTTGCTGGCTTGGGATCTAGGAGCATGGATGGATGTACGAGTGCAAGTGAGTAAGCTGCTGCAGCTCCATGAATTACTGCCCATCAGATGTTTTACTCTGGAGGCAGTGTAGGTAAAGAATATATTCATAGTGTTTTACTGCATCTCTGATGATGGCTGGTAAGTTGTTAAACTTCAGTTACATGATCGCTTTTGATCATATGTCCATAACCTTTGAGCATATATATATATTTTTTTTTCTTCTGGCTCCCCTGCTGGGTTTGTGGAATTGCCACATCCTTGTTGGATTTCTGAGGTTTCCTGTGCCCTAGTTTTCCCTGCTTTGCATTTTTGTCTTGCACCTCTGAACACCCTACATCACTGATTAGCCAAAATAAAAAAAAATAAAAAAATCCTGCAGTGAGTCTCTTTAATTGGCCAAAATAGCCCCTCTTCCAGCAACTTTCCTAGTGCTCTGCTTGTGCTGCATTTTTCTGATTCTCACCATCAGAGAGAGTTACTGTAATTTGGCGGCTATCAGTAAAGATCAAGGACAGTTAAGACAATGATTACAGGTGATGAGCATTTTACATTTTCAGACTAGTTAGGTAAGCTTATGGTGCCTCCCTCATTTTACAAGTAAGACTTATTACAGTAATTATACACCAGATGACAGTGCTTAAGTTTTACAGTCTGTTGAGCTGCTGAAGAAAGATGGTGGATGTTCAGGAGTGGAACGTTTTCTTAGGTTTTGATAACTTTACTGCACATCTCATAGAAGAAAATGGACTCTGAGTGCTGAATTAGAAGAAAAATTACATGGAAATAACATTCTAGGTAGGAAACCTTAAAATTCTTAAATACTTGCTATATTTCTTTGAATCTAGCATGTGGATCTGTTATTTGTCTGCAATAGATTTCTTATTTACATTGAGACATTGATAATGAAATTTTTGACCCAACCTACTGTGTACTAATTTTACTCCATTATAGTGAAGTAGCTTCAGTGACTGTCGTGTTGATTTCCAGCAGTGTACCCAGAGCTGAATTTGAGCTTTGCAGGATCTCGGTGCCAATTCTCTCCAGAGGCAGGTGATGAATAGGACTTTTCAAGCATAAAGCAGTTGTTTCATTGAAAGGCAAAATGTTAAAGATTCAGAAGACAGGGGAGGTAACTTTAGCATCTTCAAAAATTAGTAACCTTCTGGAGGAAAATTGCCTTTTTTAGCCTCATTCACAGAAATTTATTCCAAGGAATGTTGTTTAGTGTTTAAAAGTCATCCTCTTGCTCTATGTGTGTGTTTGTAAATGTGACTAAAATTTATAAAAAGAAGGCATAGTACTCTCTTCTTTTGAGCAAGAGGTGCAGCTTTGTGCAGAAGAAGAATGTGGATGGATGGTGGCCAGTTGGAGGGAGAACAATAAACCATGAAATCTGATTCTTGTAGCAGGCAGAGCAACATGGGGAAGAGCCCAGCAGCTGGGACATGGACCCGGAGTGAGCTTTTTGCTGCTGTTTTAATGCGTATTAAAGCAAAGACTCCGCATTCCCAAAGCTGAGTTACTACTGGCGCCTCGCAGCTCTACCATTTTTGTACTTAATGATATATCTCTTAAGCATAATAAGTCAACATCCCAGATCCTATATTGCCTGAACAACTGGTAAATCTGATAAGGGCTAATCTTTTCCATCTGAAGCACTATGTCTTTATTGTGGAGCATTGATGGATATTGATTTGGGCACTGACAGTTTGCATTGTGCGATATTGCAAAGCCTGGTGGTGCTAACATTGCTCTTGTGGATACGTGCAGGTTTTCATTTTACTCATGTAGGTCTGATACTTGCTGAGCAAAATTATACTCAAAGGTCTGGGCTCATAAATCCACAATATAAAGATGGTAGTAAATGCCAGAGAGTCAAAGATAGTCTCCAGAACTATCACGCACTCTTTTCTGGGCTTAAGCTTAGCCACTTGACTTTATTGGCTGTTTCTGTGTGCCAGAAAAGCTGCATTTGCTCAGGCAGGTTAAATAGTTGGGCATCTCTCTGATTTTCATGTCTAAATACAGATCTATTGGGCTCCATTCTGCCTTCAGCAACACTGATACAACATCACCACTTCCAGAAGAGCTCCTCTTCTCCTCCTGCCAATAGAACAGACACGGGTTTTTGTGAACAGAAAGGAGGGTTCCCCTGAAGGCAGGAAAATGAGCCCGTGATCTTTGCAGTTTAAATCAGGCTGGAATAAAAGAAACCCTTTGGGTGGCCATTACTTTTCCAATCCCAATTTTGTCTGAGTTAAAATTTTAGCATCTCAGGGAGGAGGGCGGAATTGCCCACTGCTCTGCATGAAAACTGTTGAAAACCAAAACACAGCTTAAAAGGTTGTTTTGTTGGGGGGATGTAGCTAATAAATAGCTATTGTTTGGGTGGGACACACTGTGCGTTTCTGAGCTCTGCTTGTGCGGTAGGAACTAAATGTGCTATTCTTGGAGCTCTCAAAAAAAATGCTGACATCCAGATAGTCGTATACTGGATTGTCAGTGAAGGGTGTATTTGTTTCAGCTCCATTGCCAAAAATGATGGTAGAGGAAAAATGATAGGAGAAGAGACAGAGAGAAAAATAATATAATTTGTAGTAAAAATGGCTGTATTTTACTACATGTGGACTGCATATGAGATAAGGAAGAACATGCTGAAGGCTAAAAAAAACCTTTGAAAAGGACTTGACAGTGTTTCTTTAACTGTGGTAAAAGCAGCAATACAGTATCTGAGTTGGCAGAGTAAATTATAGGTTGCAGAGAAACACCAAAACCCCTGAGCTAGATTAAATATACTGGGGCGGGGTGGGGGAATTAAGCAAAAAATCTTGTTTCTGAGCATGAGTTCTCTAAATATAGAAACAAAACTGAAGAAGAAATATACTGTTACAGAGAGCAAACTGACCCAGAGCTTAGATGTCAGAGGTTAAATAAATATAATGGAATACAAAATACAGCTTTTATTAATATAAACAGAAATGTTAATACCATGGACTGATTTCTGGGTGTCCTATATTATGTGAAGTTATTTCTGCCATGAAAAGTCAGTGCACTGTGACTGTTAGGTGAGACTGTTCTGACTGAGCAGCACTTTATGTTTATAAGTTCTGACGCAGATTGATTAAAAAGTTTGGAAAAGCAGAGAACGCAGCCCACAGCATCTGGGTACATACAGTCCTCTTGTAAGTACAGGGAAAAATCATGTTTTATTTGGGATTTCTGAGATGTCACACGTAAAATAACTACAGTATCATGTATTATTAATAATACCAAAAGTACTGGCCAGATTTCATTTGCAGTTTCAGCACCCCCCCAGTCCCCTTTTTTTTTTTTCTTTTAGTGTCAAACTTATCTTTAAAACCACTTTGAATGAAGTTCCACTGGTATTTCAGTATTTCCCCCTC